ATTACAGTAGCATTCCTTATGGAAAGTACTTTGGCAGTGATTGGTGCCCATTTTGGACAAAAGCAAGACATCTGTATTTTGATAGCTTTCATCTTCTCTACCTTGTTCATCTTCCTTGCTACTGTCAAGGCTAGCTATCTGATTCTTATATCTGACCAGGTCATTCCCCTGCTTTAAAAAAAAAAATCAGTGGTTTTGTATCATGGAAGAAAAAAAACACTTTTATTGGGCCAGGGATTTAGCTCAGTGGCGCTGCCGCCTGCCTCGCAAGTGGAAGGTCTAGAGTTCGATCCCCTTATCTAAATAAATAAATAATTCAATAAACAGTTTTATTGAGCATCAACTATGTTGTGAACACTGTGGTTGAAATAAAAAGAAAAGGGAGAGTCTATGTTCATCCTCTTGGAGATTAGAGAGGAGCTAGAATCCTGGGAATGACGTGATTCCTCCTTTTCTCTCATGTCCAATCCATTCTCATGACCCGTGCATTCTCCTTCCATCCAAATATCTATGCTATGTCTCTCCTCCTTGTTTCTCACCAGTGTTGCTGCTCAAGATATTAAAAAAAATCCAAAATGGCATAGCTTCTACATAACCAGATATAAAGAGAGCTTTATCAAATGGGCCATGAATGTGCAGAGTGAGGGGGAAATGGAGCATTTAATTTTAACTGATTTGTTGACATTATCTATTTTTATGTTTATTCTCATGCTTCCTGCTTGAGGGTGTGAGGGAACCCTTTTCCAGAAATGCTTTTCCCTTCTCCTTTTTGAATTGGCTGAGTTTGTTATTTATGTTTGGTGGTCTATAGGATTTCCTCTTGTATTTCTATAACAAATCCCTTTTAGTTTGAGTTCTTTGAATGGCACCCTGCTCCTAGTCACCAAAAGATCCTTTTGTAAAGTAAAGATTTCATTTTTTTTTTTAAATTTTTGAGACAGGTTCTCACTATGTAGCCCAGGCTCGAACTCACAGCGATCCTCCTGCCTCAGCTTCCTGAGTGCTGGGATTACAGGCGTGCACCACCAGGCCTGGCTCAATATTTCATTTCTTTTCAAGTATTTAACATCTACTTGAGGGCCAGGGATTTAGCTCAGTGGTTCCAGCACCTGCCTTGCAAGCACAAGGGTTCGATCACCGGTACCAAAAAAAAAAAAAAAAAAAAAAAAAAAAA